GTAGAGACAGGATTTCACCATGTTGGCTAGGCTGGTCTCAAACTCCTCACCTCGTGATCTGCCCACCTTGGCCTCCCAAAGTGTTGGGATTACAGGCATGAGCCACTGCGCCTAGCCATCTAGACAGTTTTGACCTTAGCTAGCTTTCCCACACTCTGAGCACTCTCTACATATTGTATTTTAAAACCTGTGCACACACTCCTTTAGGTATGCTTTGCTTATGTTAAAGCTAAAACACAAAAGAACACAGCCAGTGAAGTGGAGGCATTGTTCAGTAAGGTTGTGTCTTTCTACCAGCCTTCTCCATTTTTGGAATCGTCAAGCTGGTCCTCTAGTGCTGCAGCACAAGTCTCATAAAATCCTTCAGAGATCAGGAACTGCTGCTCCTTACTACTATGCCTGTGACACAATACATCGCACATGCATCCTGAGGTGGAGGTGGATAGAGTTGAGCTGGGAATCTACTTAGCAGGTGACATTTATTGTTGTGTTTTCCTTTTCTTCTTAGAAGGACCCCATGAACACAAAATATAAGTGAATTTTGCCTTTATTACTCTATTCCTTTATCACACTTTGTCTGTACTATAAATGTGCTGTGCTTAAAGTGTGGGTTTTGGTTTTTGGTTTATTTGGTAATTTGACTAATAGATCTTCATGGGTAAAGAACAAAACAGTTTCACCTGCTGAGTTCTATGTGAGCATTTCCCCAGCACATTGCTTTTTTTTTTAAAAAAAAAAAACAACCAGTATCTCTCAGATGTTTGTTATTGAACTCTGCTGGACATGCCAGGAAAATGCAGCAAATACATTTGGATTTCAGTAATACATCCATCTCATGATATTTCTTTACAATGATGAAGAAATATGGGCTACAAACAAGGAAAAGCAGATGAATTAGGAATATTACACATTGTATGTGGTGGTAATGTAGTATAAGGAACCCCAGCCAAGCATTCCTTGGTCCTAAGTTAACATTTTTTTCTCCACTTATTAGATGCATGGTCTTGGACAGTTTCATTGAAGTCATCAGAATTATGTACACTAGTGATTAATAGTCACCCAGTAATTGCTCAATTATTAAGAAGTAACTCACTGTACCAAGGATTCGGTTTGATTGATTTAATCCTCTGTAACATGTAGGTACCATTGTTATCCCCCAATTTATTTATTTGTTTTTTCTTCTTAATTTTTTTTGTTTTTGTTTTTCTTTTTTGAGACGGCGTCTTGCTCTGTTGCCTAGGCTATAGTGCAGTAATGTGATCTCAGCTCACTGCAACCTCTGCCTCCTGAGTTCAAGAGATTCTCCTTCCTCACATTCCCACATAGCTGTAATTACAGGGGTGTGCCACTACACCGGACTCTTTTTTTTTTTTTTTTTGTAGTAGAGATGAGGTTTCGCCATTTGGCCAGGCTGGTCTCTAACTGCCAACCTCTAGTGATTCTCCTGCCTTGGCCTCCCAAAGTGCTGGGATTATCCCTGAATTTATACATGAAGAAACTTAGGTGCAGATAAATTGAGTGAATAATCCCAGATTGCACAACTTTTCTTTGCTGGATCCAGGATTTGCACTCAAGTCATTGTTACCAATAGCCTATGCTCCAATCACTACACTGTACTAACCTTTGTAAGTCCTTATTTGCTCATTTGGGTAGTGTGAATTTATTTATCTGATAAAATATCAGGTGCTTTTGGTGTTCATATCTGGGTAAATTACACATCTCCCCCTTTCTGGTATTCTTCCTTCTTTCTATTGAAACTGACAGCGGGACTTTTTGTTCCAGCTTAGTTAACTAGGTGTATTAGTCAGGGTTCCCTAGAGGGACAGAACTAATAGCATAGATATACATATACATATATCTAAAAGGGAATTTATTAAGTATTAACTTACACGATCATAAGGTCCCAAAATAGGCTATCTGCAAGCTTGAGGAGCAAGGAGAGCCAGTCCGAGACACAAAACTGAACCTGGAGTCTGATATTTGAGAGCAGGAAGCATTTTCATGTTTTTCTGCCTGCTCTGTAGTGGCTGGCAGCTGATTAGATTATGCCCACAAGATTAAGAGTGGGTCTGCCTTCCCCAGTCCACTGACTCAAATGTTAATCTCCTTTGGCAACACCATCACAGACACACACAGGATCAATACTTTGCATCCTTTAATCCAATCAAGCATTAACAATCACACTAGGTGAGATGGGAATGCTGTGCCAGGTGATAAAAGGGTTTTTGTGCAGTGCTGATATTTCTTGCCCAGAGTTGTGAGAGTTACATGAGATTAAAGAAGATAAATAGAAGAAAGTGTAAAGTAGAAAGAATCTTTTTTTTTTTTTTTGAGACGGAGTTTCACGTTACCCTGGCTGGAGTGCAATGGCGCGATCTCGGCTCACCGCAACCTCCGCCTCCTGGGTTCAGGCAATTCTCCTGCCTCAGCCTCCTGAGTAGCTGGGATTACAGGCACTCACCACCATGCCCAGCTAATTTTTTGTATTTTTAGTAGAGACGGGGTTTCACCATGTTGACCAGGATGGTCTCAATCTCTTGACCTCGTGATCCACCCGCCTCGGCCTCCCAAAGTGCTGGGATTACAGGCGTGAGCCACCACACCCAGCCAAGTAGAAAGAATCTTACACAAGATCCTTACACAAGGATCTTGAAGACATGTGGCCAATCTATTGACTTAAAAGCTGAGTAAAATTTTACTACCTTGTGATTGCTCATAAAACACAGGATGGATGTGAATATAGGATTTATAGTTCTTAAGTGTTTCCCTTTTTTGATAATTGGCTTCCTCTTAAGAATTATGATGCTCAATTACACATATAAGAGATTACATATATGAGAGATTACTCTACATCAGGGTCACCCTGAGGGAGGATGCTGGTGGTGTATTGAAGGATCCTAGCTCTGATCCTGCCCATTTCAATATTGTATCAGTATCTGAGATAAAGTACAGTAGGTGCTTATCTGTTTGTGGATGATCTAAAGCTTTAGATTTAGTTTTTATTGAGTTTTGTATTTTTTTTAATGATTTTGAAAGATATAGTATTAAAATGTAATTATTTTAAATTGTGGCCAATTTAAAGGTTTTCATATACATTCTTAGAGCTGTATTTAACTACCAAATTTATGTCATTATACTTATGTATTCGAATAGAAAAACTCAATTTATTCTTATATATTTAAAAGGGACTTTCTTTTGCCTACATCTGTGAGTGATAGCTAACCCCGTATAAAACTAAAACTAGATTTGAAAATTTCTTACGTCAGGGACTGTTTTCTTTACTACCCTGTTTTTCACATGGTGCTCAACCTTATGTTTTGTATATAATTGATACTTTTTCCATATTGTTGATTCAATGTGAATTTTTAAAATTAAGAACTAAGTCTTAGGAAGTTGTAAGATACTTGTTTACATGCTGTAAGTCAGGGCTTCTCCTAATAAGAGATTGTATGATTGAGTTATGTGCTAACATGTTTATGCTTGGCTAGTTGACTTCAAGTGCTCAAACACAGCAACTAATTGCCCCATTGAAGATGTCTAACATTATTAGATATTAAGATATTTCAGACCCATACTAAATCATTCATTTGAATATAGTATAAGAAACTTCTTTATTGAGGAAAAGAGCTAGTGAGGTAGAAAGAGATCCTGATGTATAAAGAGTCAAGGAACCTGAGTTCCTTGACTATGTAGTATGTGAACATGGGCCTGTCATATTAATTTTCTGGGACTAACAATTTGTGCTATAAAGTAAAAGGTTAAAAATCAAAATCCCTTTCTGTGTTTTCCAGTTATCACCTGTAAAGTCTGGTAGCTGTAGTAATTCTGAGTGGGATGTTTTGCAGAACCTCAGTTGATTTCACTCCTCTGACTTACGAAGACTGTTTCTTGTGTGGGGGCCACATATGTCAGGATTTAGATATGCTATCATTAAAATGCAAACTAATTTTTCACAGGTTTCTACTTTTTAATTCTTTATTGTTATATTTATTAGTGGATGTCAAGAGAATCAGGAATATTGATTCACCTGGGTGAATGAGTAATTGGAAACACGTGTTTTTGCCTCTTGGAATTCAATTGTTTCTTAGCCAGTCAGGTTATTTATCTAAATAAGATAGAAAATTCAGTAACACATTTTCTTTTTGCACAAAGCAGTTATTTTCCATAAAGTTTGCATGATGGTAGTTTTTATTTTTATTTTCCAGTTAAATATGAATAAGATTTTTTAAAGCTTTATCTGTCTTTGGAAATTAATGACCGGTTTGCATAAAAAACACTTGATCTGGAAAACTTTGAATATGTTCTATTTAATACCATCTGCTATATCTTTTCTATTGGTTGTTATGGAGACTTCTTTTTCATGAAGGGACATGGTGCTGCTTTACTTGAAGACTGAATTTGTTTTGATTTCATAGTTCATTATGGTAAAATTGAGCATCATAATTCTTAAGAGGAAGCTCATTATCAAAAAAAGGGAAATACTTAAGGATTATAAATTCTATTTTTATCTCCATACTGTGTTTTATGAGAAATCGCAATGTAGAAAAATTTTACTCAGCTTTTAAGTCAATAGATTGGTCATATTTCTTCAACAACTACTGTGTGATGGTATCAAAGAAATAGCAGATACACTGCACTCCCCTGTTTATTGTGGCACTATTCACAATAGCCAATATCTGAAAGCAACCTAAGTATCCATCAACAGATGAATGGATAAAGAAAATGTAGTATATATACACAATGGAGTTCTATGCAGCTGTAAAAAAAGAATGAGATCCTGTCATCTGCAACAAAAGAACTCCAGGTCATTATGTTAAGTGAAATAAGCCAGGCACAGAAAGAGAATCTTCACCTGGTCTCGCTTATTTTTAGGAGCAAAGAATTGAAACAGTTGAAGTAATGGAGATAGAGAATACAAGGATGGTTACCAGATGTTGGGAAGGGTGGTGATGTGGATATAGGGGATGTGGATATGGTCAAAAATAGAAAGAGTGAATAGACCTAGTATTTTCTAGCACAATAGGGTGACTATAATAAAATATAATTTAATTGTACATTTAGAAATAACTGAAAGAGTATAACAGGACTGTTTGTAACACCAAGGATAGATGCTTGAGGTGATGGATACCTCATTTACCCTGAGGTGATTATTACTCACTGCATGGCTGTTTCAAAATATGTCATGTACCTTATAAATATGTATCTACTGTGTACCCACAAAAATTAAAAATAAAACAAATAGTAGATACAGTCTCTGCTTTTGAACAGGTTCTGGAGTACATGTGCAAAACATTCAGGGTTGTTGCATAGGTACATACATGGCAATGTGGTTTGCTGCCTCCATGCCCCTGTCACCTATATCTGGCATTTCTCCCCATGTTATCCCTCCCCAACCTCCCTAACCCCCACTGTCCCTCCAACAGACCCCAGTGTGTGATGCCCCCCTCCCTGTGTCCCTGTGTTCTCATTGTTCAACACCTGCCTATGAGTGAGAACATGCGGTGTTTGTTTTTTTGTTCTTGTGTCAGTTTGCTGAGAATGATGGCTTCCAGATTCATCCATGTCCCTACAAAGGACACAAACTCATCATTTTTTATGACTGCATAGTATTCCATGGTGTATATGTGCCACATTTTCCTTGTCCAGTCTATCATCGATGGGCATTTGGGTTGGTTCCAGGTCTTTGCTATTGCAAACAGTGCTGCAATGAACATAAGTGTGCATGTGTCTTTATAATGGGATGATTTATAATTCTTTGGATATATACCCAGTAATGGTATTGCTGGGTCAAATGGAATTTCTATTACTAGGTCCTTGAGGAATCGCCACACTGTCTTCCACAATGATTGAACTAGTTTACACTCCCACCAACAGTGTAAAAGTGTTCCTATTCCTCCACATCCTCTCCATCATCTGTTGTCTCTAGATTTTTTAATGATCGCCATTCTATCTGGCGTGAGATGGCATCTCAATGTGGTTTTGATTTGCATTTTTCTAATGATCAGTGATGGGTATTTTTTCATATGTTTGTTGGCCTCATACATGTCTTCTTTTGAAAAGTATCTGTTCATGTCCTTTGTCCACTTTTGAATGGGTTTGTTTTTTTCTTATAAATCTTTTTTAGTTCTTTTTAGATTCTGGATATTAGCCCTTTGTCAGATGGGTAGATTGCAGAAATTTCTTCCCATTCTGTTGGTTGCCAGTTCACTGTAATGATTGTTTCTTTTGCTGTACAGAAGCTCTGGAGTTTAATTAGATCACTTTGTCTATTTTGGCTTTTGTTGCCAATGCTTTTGGTATTTTAGTCATGAAGTTCTTGTCTATGCCTATGTCCTGAATGGTTTTGCCTAGGTTTTCTTCTAGGGTTTTTATGGTATTGGGCCTTGTGTTTAAGTCTTTAATCCATCTGGAGTTAATTTTAGTATAAGGTGTCAGAAAGTGGTCTAGTTTATGTTTTCTGCACATGGCTAGCCAGTTTTCCCAACACCATTTATTAAACAGGGAATCCTTTCCCCATTGCTTGTTTTTGTCAGGTTTGTCAAAGATCAGATGGTTGTAGATGTGTGGCATTGCCTCTGTGGCCTCTGTTCTGTTCCAATGGTTTTTATCTCTGTTTTGATACCAGTACCATGCTGTTTTGATTACTGTAGCCTTGTGGTATAGTCAGATAGTGTGATGCCTCCAGCTTTGATCTTTTTGCTTAGGATTTTCTTGGCTATGCGGGCTCTCTTTTGGTTCCATATGAAGTTTAAGGTGTTTTTTTTTTTCCAGTTCTGTGAAGAGGGTCATAGGTAGCTTGATGGGGATAGCATTGAATCTATAAATTACTTTGGGCAGTATGGCCATTTTCACAATATTGATTCTTCCTAACCATGAGCATGGAATGTTTCTCCATCTGTTTGTGTCCTCTCTTATTTCATTGAGCAGTGGTTTGTAGTTCTCCTTGAAGAGGTCCTTTACATCCTTTGTTAGTTGCATTCCTAGGTATTTTATTCTCTTCGTAGCAATTGTGAATGGGTATTTGCTCTTGATTTGACTCTCTGTTTGTCTGTTATTGATATATAGGAATGCTTGTGATTTTTGCACATTGATTTTGTATCCTGAGACTTTGCTGAAGTTGCTTATCAGTTTGAGAAGATTTTGGGCTGAGACGATGGGGTCTTGTAGATATACAATCATGTCATCTGCAAATAGAGACAATTTGACTTCCTCCTTTCCTAATTGAATACCCTTTATTTCTTTGTCTTGCCTGATTGCTCTGGCTAGAACTTCCAATACTATATTGAATAGGAGTGGTGAGAGAGGGCACCCTTGGCTAGGGCCAGATTTCAAAGGGAATGCTTCCAGTTTTTGCCCATTCAGTATGATATTGGCTGTGGGTTTGTCTTAAGTAACTTTTATAATTTTGAGATATGTTCTGTTGATAACTAGTTTATTGAGAGTTTTTAGCATAAAGGGCTTTTGAATTTTGTCGAGGGTTTTCCTCTGCCTCTATTGGGATAATCATGTGGTTTTTGTCTTTGGTTCTGTTTATATGGTGGATTATGCTTATAGACTTGTGTCTGTTGAACCAGCCTTGCATCCTTGGGATGAAACCTGCTTGATCATAATGGATAAGCTTTTTGATGTGCTGTTGCTATTGGTTTGTCAGTATTTTATTGAATATTTTTGCATCTATGTTCATCACGGATATTGGCCTGAAATTTTGTTTTTTTGTTGAGTCTCTGCCGGGTTTTGGTATCAGGATGATTTTGGTCTCATAAAATGATTTGGGAAGGATTCCGTCTTTTTGGTTTGTTTGGAATAGTTTCAGAAGCAGTGATACCAGAACCTCTTTGTACGTCTGGTAGAATTCAGCTGCGAACCCATCTGGACCTGGACGTTTTTTGGTTGGTAGGCTATTAATTGCTGCCTCAATTTCAGCCCTTGTTATTGGTCTATTCAGGGTTTTGACTTCTTCCTGGTTTAGGCTTGGGAGGGTGCAAGTGTCCAGGAATTTATCAATTTCTTCCAGGTTTACTGGTTTGTGTGCATAGAGTTGTTTATAGTAATCTCTGATGGTAGTTTGTATTTCTGTGCAGTTGGTGGTGATATCCCCTTTATCGGTTTTTATCGCATTTGTTTGATTCTTCTCTCTTTTCTTTTTTATTAATCTGGCTAGCAGTCTGTCTATTGTGTTGATCTTTTAAAAAAAAAAAACCAGCTCCTGGATTCATTGAGTTTTTTGAAGGGTTTTTTTGTGTCTCTATCTCTTTCAGTTCTGTTCTGACCTTAGTTATTTCCTGTCTTCTGCTAGCTTTTGAGTTTTTTTTGATCTTGATCCTCTAGCTCTTTCAATTTTAATGATAGGGTAGTTGATTTTGGACCTTTCCTTGCTTCTCATGTGGGCATTTATTGCTATAAATTTTCCTCTAGACCCTGCTTTGATGTGTCTCAGAGATTCCCATATGTTGTGTCTTCATTCTCATTGGTCTCAAAGAACATCTTTATTTCTGCCTTCATTTCATTGTTTATCCAGTCAACATTCAAGAGCCAGTTGTTCAGTTTCCATGAAGTTGTGCAGTTCTGAGTTAGTTTCTTAATCCTGAGTTCTAATTTGATTGCACTGTGGTCTGAGAGACTGTTTTTTATGATTTCCGTTCTTTTGCATTTGCTGAGGAGGGATTTACTTCCAATTATGTGGTCAATTTGAGTAGGTGTGATGTGGTGCTGAGAATGTATATTCTGTGGATTTGGGGTGGAGAATTCTGTAAATGTCTATTAGGTTTGCTTGGTCCAGGCTTGAGTTCAGGTCCTGGATATCCTTGTTAATTTTCTGTTGGGTTGATCTGTCTAATAATGACAATGGGGTGTTAAATTCTCCCACTATTCTTGTGTGGGAGTCTAAGTCTCTTTGTAAGTCATTAAGAACTTGCTTTATGTATCTGGGTTCTCCTGTATTGGGTGCTTATATATTTAGGATTGTTAGCTCTTCTTGTTGCTTTGATCCTTTTACCATTATGGAATGCCCTTCTTTGTCTCTTTTGATCTCTGTTGTTTAAAGACTATTTTATCAGAGACTAGGATTGCAACTCTTGGTTTTTTTTTTTTTGCTCTCCGTTTGCTTGGTAAATCTTCCTCCATCCCTTTATTTTGAGCCTATGTGTGTCCTTGCATGTGAGATGGGTTTCCTGGATACAGCACACTGATGGTTTTTGACTTTTTATCCAATTTGCCAGTCTGTGTCTTTTGATTGGGACATTTAGCCCACTTATATTTAAGGTTAATCTTGTTATGTGTGAATTTGATCCTGCCATTTAGATGCTAGCTGGTTGTTTTGCCCATTAGTTGATGTAGTTTCTTCATTGTGTTGATGCCTTTTATCATTTGGTACATTTTTGGAGTGGCTGACTTCTTTCAGGAGTTCTTGTAAGGCAGGCCTGGTCGTGATGAAATCTCTCAGGAATTGCTTGTTTTTAAAGGATTTTATTTCTCCTTCGCTTATGAAGCTTAGTTTGGCTAGTTATGAAATTCTAGGTTGAAAGTTCTTTTTTTTTTTTTTTTTTTAAAGATGTTGAGTATTGGTCCTCACTCTCTCACTCTTTTCTGCCTTGTAGGGTTTCTGCCGAGAGATCTGCTGTGAGTCTGATGGGCTTCCCTTTGTGGGTAACCTGACCTTTCTCTCTGGCGGCTCTTAGCATTTTTTCCTTCATTTCAACCCTGGTGAACCTGATGATTATGTGCCTTGGGGTTACTCTTCTTGAGGAATATCTTTGTGGTGGTCTCTGTATTTCCTGGACCTGAATTTTGGCCTGCCTTGCTAGGTTGGGGAAGTTTTCCTGGATAATATCCTGAAGAGTGTTTTCCAGCTTGGAGTCATTCACTCCGTCACATTCAGGTACACTTATCAAATATAGATTAGGTCTTTTCACATAATCCCATATTTCTTGGAGGCTTTGTTCATTTCTTTTTACTCTTTTTTCTCTAATGTTGCCTTCTCATTTCATTGAATTGATTTTCAATTTCTGATATCCTTTCTCCTGCTTGTTCAATTGGCTATTGAAACTTGTGTATGCTTCGCAAAGTTCTCATGTTGTGTTTTTCAGCTCAATTAAGTCATTTATATTCTTCTGTAAGCTGTTTATTCTCGTTAGCATTTTGCCAAACCTGTTTTCAAGGTTATTAGTTTCTTTGCATTGGGTTAGAACATGTTCTTTTAGCTCCAAGTAGTTTCTTATTACCCACCTTCTGAAGCCTGTTTCTATCAGTTCATCAGACTCATTCTCCATCCAGCTTTGTTCCTTTGCTGGTGATGAGTTGTGATCCCCTGGAGGAGGAGAGGCGTTCTGATTTTGGGTGTTTTCATCCTTTTTGCACTGGTTTCTTCCCATCTTCAAGGATTTATCTACCTGTGGTCTTTGTAGTTGGTGACTTTCGGATGGGGTCTCTGAGTGGTCATCCTTTTTGTTGATGACGAATTTGTTTCTTTCTGTTTTTTGGTTTTCCTTGTAACAGTCAGGCCCCTCTGGTGTAGGACTGCTGGAGATCCACTCCGGACTCTGCTTGCCTGGGGATCACCTGCGGTGGCTGCAGAACTGTAAGGGTTGCTGCCAGTTTCTTCTTGTTATCTTCATCCCAGAAGGATACCTGCCAGATGTCAGCCTGAGCTCTCCTTTATGAGGGGACTCTGGATATACGAGGGTCACAGAGGTGCTTCGGGAGACAGTCTGTCCCTTGTAGGAGCCCAAGTGCTGAGCTGTGAGCTCCATTGTTCTATCCAGAGCTGCTGGGCAGGTACGTTTAAGTCTGCTGCAGTGGAACTCAAAACCGCCTTTTTCCCAGGTGCCCTGTCCTGGGAAGGTGGGGCTCTATATATAAGTTCCTGATGTGCTGCTGTTTTTTTTCAGAGCAGCACTGCCCAGCAAGGAGGTAGCCTAGTCACAGTCTCCCAGCAGAGGCGTTGCTAAGCTGCTGTGGGCTCTGCCCAGCTGCTGTATGAACTTCCTCGCGGTTTTGTTTATAGGGGTATAGTTAGAACTGCCTCGGTAATGGCGGTCTGCCTCAGTAATGGAGGACTGCCTCGGTAATAGCGGACTACTTCAGAATGGTGGACACCCTTCCCCCAACAGAGCTGGACTGTCCTGCGTCCAGCTGTGCTTGCTGTGAAACTCAATCCAGAGCATTTCAGATTGCTGGTCTTTGTGGGGGTGGGATCCGTCGAGCCAGATCACCTGGCTCCCTGTTTCAGCCTCCTTTTTTTCAGTTGAATGGGTGGCTCTGTCTCCCAGGCATTCTAGGCGCCAGTTGAAACAGCCGCCCAGATTTCTGTGAGTTTTTGTGCAGAGACCTGCTGCACTGGCTGAAACAGCCATGCTGGGAGCTTGTGGTGCTTTTCAGCCTGGTAATCTCCTGGTCTGTGGGCAGTAATAACTCGTTTGGAAATGCAGTGTTCACTCACCCTCTGCATTGTTCTTGCTGGAAACTGCACTCCAGAGTTATTCCTATTTGGCCATCTTGGATCCGTCCCTTGAACAGATTATTATTTAAAAAGGTAATAGTGTTCAAGGCAATAAATATGCCTTTGCCTGTCTTATTTACTAGAATGGACACAAATAATGGCAAAGTTTTGTTCATTCATATGTATATGTGAGAACGTATATATGTATGTAATATATATGATATTTCTGGCATATTTATGGATATATATGAATATGTTAGAGATATAGATCTAAACTTGTTCTGGAGTTGAGAATTATGTCATCCCTCAGAGACTATATTTCTTAGAAATACTGTCTCTGGTTAGAAGTATTGTGGATCTTAATATGAAATCAAATTCTTGGCCAGGCATGGTGGCTTGTACCTGTAATTCCAGCACTTTGGGAGGCCAAGGTGGGAAAATCACCTGACTCCAGGAGTTTAAGACTAGGCTCTGCTAAATGGTGAGACTTTGTCTCTGCAAAAAAGAAAAAAAAAAAAAATTAGCTACGTGTTGTGACGTGTGCCTGTAGTCCCAGCTACTTAGGAGGCTGAGGTGGAAGATCACTTGATCTCAGGAGGCTGAGGCTGCAGTGAACCAAGACTGCACCACCCCACTCCAGCCTGGGCAACAGAGCAAGACTCTGTCTCAAAAAATCAATCAAATTCTTACCAACTAATTGTTAGTTTTCTTTTAATATATTTCTGATCTTGGACCTTACACTTCCACCATATTTAGGATTTGTCTGATTAAGTGTTAAAATTTTGTTCTGGAATTTTACATCGTTTGATCAATGTAACCAGTTGACACAAGTGCAGTGAGATCTTTTGGTGGGAAGGTCTGGAGGTAGCTGAAGCATGCAGACCTTGGGTGGGGCTAGACATTGGCTGGTCAAAGAATAAGAGTCTATGGGTAATGGAGATCAAAATAGGCCTGAGAGCTATGAATCAGTAGCAGAATCAGTTGTATTTGGAGAAGGCAAGCAGGATGTCAGGTAACTCATGACTGCAGAACCATTGTATAAGGGAAATGTTTCTATAATTATGGGCTGGAACTAATTTCCCTCTACCTCTTTTGTGATTCCAGCTTAGGTGGAAAACCTTGCCTCTTTTCAGGTTTATTTGCAGCTAGAAGAAAAGGTGGGTTTTAAATATGTTCTGATTTAAGTAAAGACTGGACATGGAAATAGAATTACAGAGAAGTTGTTATATAACAATAATAGTTTCAAGAAACCAGCACGAAGCTTCTTTATTCTGAGAACAAGTATTAGAAAGCCAAAATGCTGTGAAACTATTACATGTATGATAGAAATATATGTGATAATGCTATTCTATATGTGTAGTGTTTTAATTTATATAAATACTTTTCAAAGTTAATTTGTGAATATAATACCATTTCAGTTAAAATCATTCTGGGAATTTGGGGGGAGCTTGAAAGGATGATCTAATGGAAAAATAAACATGGGAGTTTCCTAAGAACCTTTCCCGAAAAGGGTAATGAGTAATAATGACGAACAAGTTTAAACACAGATCTGTGGAACAATACTTGAGTCTAGAAATATATTTAACAATATATAAGCACTTGATAGGATAAATGTGTTTTCTCCCAATAAGGAAGGATTACAGTGGTGTTGGGAAGCTAGGTAGCAGTTTTTTTTTTTTAAGTAGTTATGTCGACATCTTTTACTATATAGCAATATAAATTGGAAATTAATGAGTGAATGAAATTAATGAAAAAAAATCATGTTCTGGACAGACCAACAGAAAATACAATAGAATATATGATAGGACTGTGAAAGAATATCTCTTTTAGTTTTAAATGAATGAATGGAAGAAATAGAAAAATTGATTTAAAAAATATTCAAAATGTATGCTTAGTAAGTTTTTAAAAGGATGGTAACGGTAGCAAAGTGGGAAAATAGATTTGCACCGACATGACTGAAAAATCTTATCTATGAATTGTAAAGTCTTTGTTCATTTTTTGAAAGTTTTTTCAACATTTTATTACAAAAACCTCAAACATACAGCAAAGTTTAAGGAGTCTTAGAGTTGTGAACAAAAGTCATCTGAAAAGGAATTTAGAGGAAAGAGACTTTATTCCATCAGTTTGCAAACTGGAGAGATGCAGCCTTCGGTGTAAAATGAAGGTGAGTTCCATAGAACAAAGGGAGGGTTTGCTTTTTACAGAAAGTTCCTGTTCAGATTTGCACTCAGGTCCACTTATGCAAATGAAGAACTCGAACTTCCTTAGTTCTGATTGGCTAACATAGGTCACAGCCTATTGGTTGGTTCAGGGAACATAAACAGGAACAGGCACCTATGAAAGTCTCAGTTAAGTAGACGTGTAGATTTTCCAGGAACTCAGAGTACATGTGTGACCTCTAGTCAATAAATGGTCTCCTGGCTCTTAATTGAATTTAGGCCCAGCTAGCAACTCAGGATTTATCCTGAGGGATTGGCTCTTTCAAGGTTCACACAGTGAATAGCTGTATAGCCACCACCTACATATTGCCATTAACTTTTTTTAAGTATATTTTTTGTTGTGGTAAAATACACATAAAATTTACCATCTTTTAACCATTTTTAAGTGTGCAGTTCAGTGATATTAAATTCATCCATAATGTTATGCAACTATCACCATCATTCATCTCTGTAACACTTGTCATTTGTAAAACTGACATTCTGTACCCATTAATTGATAACGCCCCATTTTCCTTTCCCCCAGACTCTGGAAGCCACCGTTATACTTTCTGTGTCTGTGATTTTGACTACTCTAACTACTTAATATCAATGGGATTATACAGCATTTGTCTTTTTGTGACTGGCTTATTTCACTTAGCATAAGTAATACCTCAAGGTTCGTCCATCTTATAGCCTACATCAGAATTTCCTTCCTTTTTAAAGTCGAATTCTATTCTGTTGTGTATATATACCACATTGTGCTTATCTATTCATCTGTTGATAGAAATTTGGGTTGTTTCCATGTTTTAAGGTGCTGTGAATAATGCTCCTATGAACATGGGTGTACAAACATCTCTTTGACACCCCATTTTCAATTCTTCTCGGTATATACCCAGAAGTAGACTTGTTGCATCATATGTATGATAATTCTATTTTTAATTTTTTGAGGAACCAGCATTTGTTCATTTTAATCTACCAAACATTTAGTCTTGTTCATTTAACATTTATAGATAAATGAGATGTAATTCATAAGGGAGAAATACAGTTAGTAAAGTGAACATGAAAAAAGTTTATTATATAAGTCCTCATTAAAGATCATGCTTAAATTTATAGCACACGGATATAATTTTATAATTACTGAGGTAATCTCCCTCCTTTCACAAAAGAGAACATCTCATGTTGGTAATGTTGTACTAAAGTTTGTAGACTTTTACTTTAAAGAGGAACCAGGGGGTCATTCATTACTGTTGAAGAAAATTGGTACAGCTCTCTTGGGGGAAAAAAGGCAAAATGTAGGAAAAGTGAAAATAATTGCTCAGATCCTTTGGTCTAGCGGTTTCATCCCTAGGGATTTATCCCAAGGAAATATGTGTGCACATGATGATCAGCCCCTAGTGTTTAACTTCAATGTTCATTGAAAGGAAACTGGTATGTAAGTAATGCTGCATCAACATGACATAATCTTGTCAAGTCATTACAATGAAAAATATGAAGACTAAATGCTTTACAAATATATTTAAGGTATAATGTTAAATAGATTAGAACCTACAGCGTGATTTTAAGGATAATAAATTTGTGGGAAAGCTAATAGCCAATAAAGTAATTCTATTAAAATGATAGTTTGCAGGGTTTCTAAAACAATTAAAATAATGTTTTTCATATATATGTATTTTTTTCTTAATCTTGTGATCACCATGAAATAAAATAATGTTTAATATTCCCTGGCCAGGTGCGATTGCTCACACCTGTAATCCCAGCACTTTGGGAGGCCAAGGGAGATGGATCACCTGAGGGCAGGAGTTTGAGACCAGCCTGACCAACATAGTGAAGCCTGGTCTCTACTAAAAATACAAAAATTAGCTGGGCCTGGTGGCAGGCACCTGTAGTCTCAGCTATTCGGGTTGCTGAGGCAGGAGAATCACTTGAACCTGGGAGGCGGAGGTTGCAGTGAGCCAAGATTGAGCCTCTGCAATCTAGCCTGGGTGATAGAGTGTGACTCTGTCTCAATAAAAACAAAATATAATGTTGCCTTTCTCATAAATAAATGGAAAAATAAATCTAATTCCTGCCCTTTTAAAGACAATTAAAAGGAGTTTTAGCTCCCCAACATGTATGGGCTGTAGGGAGTCAGGCTGGCCATTTGGCTTTTTTTTTCCTGCAGTCTCAACCACAAAATTCAACTCTAAGGACTCCTACACTAAAGGGGGAAGCAGGAAGAGCAAGTCTTACAAGATTCAAGTCCATTGGCTCACCTGTCCCACTGGCCAGCTTGCTTACTTACTGGAACCTTACCTTCTACACATTTGTGTTGGTGTGGAGGGAGAGCAGGAGTAATTTATGATGCTTTTTACAAGTATTTTGGTGCAAACTCTTTATTACGTAAAATAATTAGATACCCAAATAACATTTATGTAAATTATCTGAATCCCAGGCTCAGTAATAAGAAAAAATTAGAAGTAAATATTCTACTTTTTTAAGACCAAAGTTCCTGAATTTTACATCTGTAAAGGCACAGGGGAAGAATAGAAATTGAATTAGTAATTAAAGGAAGGTCTGAATTCACAGACATAGCAAAGATGGAGGGTTATATATAAGAGGGTTAATAGAGAGGGATACTGACACTAAAAGGAAAAGTGTAGCCATTACTGTGCCAGAAAAAGAAAAGGAACAATGTTTATATTTGTTGTCACTTGGAAAATTAATATGTAGGACAAAGCTTAAGAATCTAAGCACATTTTCAGATTATATTTCTGGTTTGTCCTGATTCAAAAGGATAACTTGTGTGTGACTGATTTGATGATATATGAATCAGCAGCTCAGGCTGCCATAATAAAATTTCATGGACTGGGTGGCTCAACAGGAATTTCTTTCTCACAGTTATGAAGGTTGGAAAGTTTAAGATCAAGATGCCAGCTGACTTGCTTCTCTGGTACAAGGTCGTTCTTGCTGGCTTGCAGAAGACAATCTTCTTGTAGTGTCTTCACAGAGTGAGGGGGGAAATATGGGAGAGGGAGAGAGAGGAAGGCAGCAAGCTCTCAGGGGTCTCTTCTTATGAGGACACTAATCCTATCATGAGGGTCCCTTAGACCTCTCCCTCATGACCTCATCTAATTCTAATTGCTTCCCAAAGGCCCCATTTCCAAATCGCATCACACTGGGGGCTAAGGCCTCAACGTATGAATTTTGGAGGAACAAAGTTCAGTCCATAATAGATGGTAATTTTGCCAGCAGGTACTCTGTCTTATACTTTTTCAGCCCCTAAGCAGGGAGCTCATTCTGATTGTAGCACATGTGCTGTCATGGAGATCTGAATCAGTATTGTTTGATTAAAGGTGATAGCTTACTAATCTTTTACTCATTGTGATATGAAATTCAATCATACTTTCATAGTAGTCTATGGAATTTATTTTAGTGAGCTAGCCTGTTAGACTGCTAAGCAGCAGTAGCCGTGCAGTTCACGTGTTTATTCTTTTTCCTTTTCCTTTCCTGGACCATTATATTTAATACATGTTAACATTTTCTAAGATACAAGAAGTATGTGAGGTCTCCTCAAAAGATATAATCATTAATACAATATTTTATCATAGTTAAATTTAGATTCTTGGTAGGGAAAAAAGCGAATGTTTATGTTCATCTACTCCGTATGTAAAACACTGGATTAAAAAATGGTACATCCGGAACTTGGCTAGCACTCCTTGTGACCAATTCAGTTTATCTATTCTGTGCCAAAATAATGGATTAGTTCTGTCATTTTAGTTAGAATTATTAGTGACTTGATCCACCCACATAGTCAGATACAGTGGCACAGGATGCTGGAAACTTTCCTTTAGTTTTTCACATCATTCAAGTAGTAGAAAAGAGAATGTTAAGAAATCCCTTGGTTTTGACCTTTGCAGATGTTCTCATTAATCTATAATGATATTTAAAAGAATTTATTTTTTAAACATAGGGACATTGTCCTGTAGATAGAAAAATAATCAAAATCAGAGATAAAACCGGAAATAGAATACTGTTTGCTTTCTTGTTTCTTTGCTTTTGTTTTTGTATTTCACTGTGTTCTTTTTTGAGGTCCTAGACAGAATTAAATTAGAAATCTGAGTGATAAAAGTTTTTAAATAATTTGACAGATAATTTTATGTGAATTATAAAATATAGTCCCAACTCTTGTTTTGCTTTAAGCACAGGACAAAGATTAAATGTTTTTGCAGTGATAAAGGTTTTCTTTCTGTTCTTTATTTTTTTTTCTTTCTATTGATAGGACATGGAAAAAGGTTTTTTTGTTTTGTTTTGTTTTTGTTTGTTTGTTTGTTTTTTGTTTTTTGGGACGGAGTTTCGCTCTTGTTACCCAGGCTGGAGTGCAATGGTGCGATCTCGGCTCACCGCAGCCTCCGCCTCCTGGGTTCAGGCAATTCTCCTGCCTCAGCCTCCTGAGTAGCTGAGATTACAGGCACGTGCCACCATGCCCTGCTGATATTTTGTATTTTTAGTAGAGACAGGGTTTCACCATGTTGACCAGGATGGTCTCAATCTCTTGACCTCGTGAGCCACCCGCCTCGGCCTCCCAAAGTGCTGGGATTACAGGCTTGAGCCACCGCGCCCGGCCCGGAAAAAGGTTTTTACATTTAAGTTTGTATAAAATATTTCTGGGCCAGGCACAGTGGCTCACACCTATAATCCTAGTACTTTGGGAGGCTGAGATAGACAGATGACTTGAGCCCAGAAGGTCAAGACCAGTTTTGTATTTGTAAAAATACAGAAATTAGCTGGGCATGGTGATGTGTTCCTGTAGTGCCAACTCCCTGAGAGGCTGAAGAGGGAGGATTATCTGAGCCTGAGAGGGTGAGGCTGCAATGGCTGAGATTGGGCCACTGCATTCCAGCCTGGGCAATAGAGCGAGACCCCATCTCAAAATAAAATTCCATCTGCTCCTTTTTCGGTTCTATATCTCTTCCTGTAGAAGCATAGT